AAACTCTGCAAAGCTTCAATTGCTTTCGTTTATACCCATCCCCACTCTTCGTCATCTCCTATCTGTATTCCTCTTTCTCCATCCTTCTTCTACCCTTGTCTTTCTTATATCTTTAGACCTGCATAGATACTACACATAATCCACAATGTCCGCCGCTGCTCCCACTACCGGCTCTCCCAAGCTCGACGCCGTCGTCGAGAAGGTGGCTCCTGCCGCCCCTCAGATGAGCGGCTTCCAGCTCTACTCCAGATTCGCCTTCGCTGGTGCTGTCTGCTGCTCCGTCACTCACGGAGCCCTCACCCCTGTCGATGTGTAGGTCCTACTGTTCAGCCTCACTGCCCCCAAATCGCATCGATTGCGCCTAGTCCCGAAACCCCCGGCGCGCTTTGCGGTGTACATCAACTGGGTACTGATGTATCTCTCTTTCTCAATGCAGCGTCAAGACCAGAATCCAGCTTGACCCCGTCACCTACAACCGTGGTATGATTGGTGGCTTCAGACAGGTCATTGCCAACGAGGGTGCTGGCGCTCTCCTCACCGGTTTCGGTCCTACTGCTGCCGGTTACTTCCTTCAGGGTGCTTTCAAGTTCGGCGGTTATGAGTTCTTCAAGCAGCAGTGCATCAACCAGCTCGGTTACGAGACTGCTTCCAACAACAGAACCGCTGTCTACCTCGCTTCCTCCGCTGCCGCCGAGTTCTTCGCTGATATCGCCCTGTGCCCTCTTGAGGCCACTCGTATTCGTCTCGTCTCTGAGCCTACCTTCGCTAGCGGTCTCATGAGCGGTTTCGGCAAGATCCTCAAGAACGAGGGTATCGGTGCTTTCTACTCTGGTTTCGGTCCTATCCTCTTCAAGCAGTAAGTCGATCACTCTTCGACCATTGGAGTCGCCTGGTGATTTCTAATTGGTAAACTTCAGGATCCCCTACACCATGGCCAAGTTCGTCGTCTACGAAAAGGTTGTTGAGGCCGTTTACCGTAAGGTCGACAAGAACACCGTTTCCGATGGTGCTAAGACTGGTATCAACCTTGGCTCTGGTCTTATTGCCGGTTTCGCTGCCGCCCTTGTTTCTCAGCCCGCCGACACCATGCTCAGTGTGATCAACAAGACTCAGGGCGCCCCTGGTGAGAGCACTGTCTCCCGTCTCATCAAGATCGCCAAGGACCTTGGTATCCGTGGCAGCTACGCTGGTATTGGTACCCGGTAAGTCTCGCTGTTCTCAATTCTCTTGCGATCCAGGATACAGTAGCTGATGTGCCCATTCTCTAGTCTTTTCATGGTTGGTTCCATCACTGCCGGTCAGTTCGCCATCTATGGTGACATCAAGCGTGTCCTCGGTGCCACCGGCGGTGTCGAGATTGGCAAATAAATTAACGACGTGACGCCTAACTGAGAACCAAAAATGTCTGAATTCGGTCAATGTCCAAATCTTCCGTACGGAGCGTGTTAGATTTGATGATTTGCCGTTAAAAAAACAAGCTGCAGCCCACTTGAACCTCACCAAACTCGGCAGATGAATCTTTACTTTCCTGTCTCCGGTCCAGTGTCTTCACAGCATCATTGTATTTCACATTGTCTGGAATGTAGTATAGATTTGAATAGACGCTTTTTCCTTTTGTTCTATCTTCGGAGATTCGGCGGCATTGACTTTTGTTACTTACTCCCTCATTAGCACTTGTTCATTTCATTACTTTTTTGAATACTGAAAGCATTCTTTTCTCGAACCATCTCAATTGAGCCAGGACGAAGCAAAGAACGGATCGGATTATCCTTTTTGAGTACTTACCAAGGCTTCCTGAGAGTCTAGACTATGTCGCGGGCACTCGTAGGTCTCAAATCTGTATCATAATTAACCAGTCCAGCATCGAGTGACAATATTCGGAAGGAGAAAGTAGATTGCACCCCCTGTTCAATCCTTGGGCGAGTGGCATTAAAGAATGGTAGATGCTCCCGTACACAGCCTTGGATACGTTGATGCCAAGCCAGCGGATCTTCAGGCACTCCGTTTCCAACGCCTCCCCGCTAGATCACCATCTTCATTCATTATTAATCCCATTTCAGCTCATTGTTAAAACATACGGCACACTCGTTTTCTATCCAGTTTTTTTTTTTTCCAGATGCATATCTGACATAATCTCCGTTTCTTTTCTCTTCTCTCTTTCTCGATATCTTTTTCTTTGCTCGCCTATATACCCAACCCTTATGACCTGATTGTCACTTGTTCGCCATGTCGCCTCATCTCGGTCTCCTACAAGTCCTCTCCTTCATATTCCTTTTTCTCGCAACTCAGGTAGTGACGGAACACACATCAAACTGGGCCGTTCTCGTTTCCACGTCTCGATTCTGGTTCAACTACCGCCATCTTGCAAATGTACTCTCACTATATCGCACCGTCAAGCGGCTGGGGATACCCGATTCGCAGATCATCCTAATGCTTCCCGATGACATGGCCTGCAATCCTCGAAACGCGTTTCCAGGGACGGTCTACAGCAATGCCGATCGCGCAGTCGACTTATACGGAGATAACATCGAGGTTGACTACCGAGGCTACGAGGTGACCGTGGAGAACTTTATCCGTCTCTTGACCGACCGACTGGACGAAGACGTGCCACGGAGCAAACGCCTGGGCTCCGATGCTGGGAGCAATGTGCTAGTTTATATGACCGGACACGGAGGCGATCAGTTCCTAAAGTTCCAAGACTCGGAGGAGATTGGGGCCTGGGACCTGGCGGATGCATTCGGCCAGATGTGGGAGAAGAAGCGTTATCATGAGCTGCTCTTCATGATTGACACTTGCCAGGCTAATACTATGTACACCCATTTCTACTCGCCAAATATTATCGCGACGGGATCCAGTGCGCTGGATCAGTCCTCTTACTCTCATCATGCGGATAACGATGTTGGTGTGGCGGTGATCGACCGTTGGACATACTATGTGCTGGAATTCTTAGAAACTCAGGTGACAAGTGCCAATTCGAAGGCGACGCTGGGAGATCTGTTCGACTCGTACGACGAGTCGAAGATTCATTCGCAACCAGGCGTTCGGTGGGACCTCTTTCCCGGCGGGGAGCAGGAGGGCCGCCTGAGAACAGTGGTGGACTTCTTCGGTAATGTTCAAAATGTCGAGGTCGAGCATGCGAATGCCACCGAGCCAGGCTCTCTGAAGGAGGATCTTATTGAGATCGCTCGACTGGTGGAAAAGTGGCGCAAGCGTGATCAGGAGTTTGCATCTCGCATGGAGCCACTTCATGAGAACAACACTGATGCACTTCCATCCTTTCAATTTACAAAATCTCGAAATGTGGCGCCAGTACGCATGGCTGCTGAATCTTCTTGGGAGAAGCGGCTCGTTGGAGCATCTGTTCTCGGCGCATGCGCTGCAGTCTGGCTCGCTGGATCGATCTTAGGCAGGTCCTCGGTTTGATCATAATGGCATCTCGGATCTTATCAGTAATCCAATATACTTGTCATGGCATTTTTTCTTGTGTAGCCTTGTGTAGTTTATCTGCATCTGCCCTGAACGTTGACACCCACTCCGCGCTCTAGCAGCATATATGTAATCTTGTTGTGTCCTTCAGAATAAGCAGTGGTTCACAGTCTTGCTACAGAGTACAAGGTGCTCCAATTTCCTTTTTGTATCTGCACCTATGGGCATGGATCATAACACGCTTGGATCAGATCATCTCTGCCAAATCCCACCATAAAAACTAGAGCAAATCTTCTCACGCCAATATCAGAAATTACATTTCTCTTCATCGGTTGAAAATATCACTCTGCAAACTGCACCTCATCGGCCTGTAAACCCTTCTGTCCTGGGACTACCGTAAATGTGACTTTCTGTCCTTCCTTCAGAGATGCAAAGCCTTGTGTCTGGATTGATCGAAAATGCACGAAGACATCTCCACCATTATCCCGGCTTATAAAGCCAAATCCCTTTGTGTCATTGAACCATTTCACGGTTCCCGTTTCTCTTTCGCTCATTTTGGTTCAACTAAGGTAGTAGATGGTCAAAATTCATTTCCAATCTCCAAGGGTATGAGCATCGCACTCTTTCGATTCAACAGTCAGGTCTAGAGTAAGCTCCTGGACAAATATGTGACTTCCTTTGCTTGAGATGTGAGCCAGATCGGAGAATCTGGTAGACAGATATAACTCAAATGGGTGCCTTTTCGGAGGTTGTGCTTGAGAAGCAAAGTTGACTAGAATTTTTGGCTCAGCAGGTGTACGCATCCTAATATAAGAGCCTTTTTGCGCGGTGTAACCTCATTAGCATCTCATTAGTAGTCTACCCTCCAGTTGCATTAAAGGGCCGTCCGACTACGCTGATGTGGTAGCGCTTTATTGGAAGATAGAAATGAGCGGGGTAGAGGGGTGTAGAGATCTAACGGATAGGTCACATTGCCAGTACAAAACTCCCCAAGTCAGATACATGTTGGTAGGCTGGTCCCTTCTTTCCTTCATTGCAACTAAAGTACTTGCTAGCATCCGACCTGCGATGGATCATCGGCTGTGTTTGGTTGGCGCGATGTCTCTCTACTATAAGTAGCCATCTGGTTTTCTTGGACTTGAATTCTCTGAAATATTGAAAAGCAAAGCTGGTTACTGTAGTCGGGGACATTAATATTCGCGGATATTTCCAATTGTTGTTGTCAGTCTCCTATGGATGTTCGGAGTGTCCGAAGTATATATTTTCGCAGCACCTTTCTTAGACATATTATTCCCCATCTTGCCCTCTAGTTGCGTTCGAACTTAAAATTCACAAAGCAGGCTACTACTCATACAGAAGGTGCCGAACGCAAATAGTATACAGCGAATCCTCCCTACAGCTGGGAACATTGACTAAAGCCGATTAATGGTCCAATATCTCCCGATATGGATATACAAGAGCATGCACGTGACCACGCGCTCCGCCTCGCGTTTCGCGCTTCGCGAGAAACATCATAACTCATCCTCCAGCATGCTGATTGCGAACCGGGCAACGAGCTTCGTGACCATTACACTATGGTCTTCAAGCCATTCAAACCTCCTCTGATCAGGAAACAGCCCAGCCCTTCCGTCTCTGATGCAGTCCCGGCAAGCGGTTCCCCGGGATATCGCGAACTTCCAGCCAAGAGACAACGTCTGGACCCAGAAATCACTACTCATGTTGATTCGCTAAGCCGATCGTACACGCCGAGCCGCAAGCCTCTCCAGCAAGTCATCAACGCAGGCAGCTCCTCCAGCGAGAGCACGACTGGTGATGATTCATATGGGGACAGATACTACAACGTGCTATGGTACCTCTCCGGATAAATTCCCAGCGATGATCAAGCTAACCGACATTTGCGACAGGCGAAAACCGTCGACGAAGAAGAACAAGACCTGGGACGGTGACGGTATCATCTCTGCCCGTGATGGGTATCTCTACCTACAGGACATATCGGGGAAGGATATGGGACGGGTGATGCATGGACCCCGACTTGAAGCAGGAACCGTACTCTCGATAGGAGGCAAAGAAGTTGAGATCGACTCGGAGATACCTAAGAAGGAGTACCTAGCCGGCAGGCCATTCCTCGAGATGAAGGAGGTCACTGGCCCCGTTACAGCACCGGCACCGCCGAAGAAGACGTTCACGCCGTTACTGGGGAACCGAAGCGGTACCTCGCTTCTGACAACTTCAAGTCAGAAGGGCCAGGGTGGGAAGATAGGCAGCTCGACTCTACCAAATCCGGCATCTAGACCCAGTTCTATATCCAATGCATACAAGAGGCCGCTACTAGAAAGCACCGTCGTTCCCGTGGGGCCTGTTGGGAAGCCGGTTCCACGCCATGATCCGAACCAACCCGGTGCACTGGTCATGAAGCGACCGGATTCAGTGCCCAAGGGGAAGCAAATTGTTGACGTTGTCGTCGATCCGATTCTCTCCAAACACCTGCGACAGCACCAACGCGAAGGCGTCCAATTTCTTTACGAGTGCGTCATGGGTATGCGATCATTCAATGGAGAAGGTGCTATACTTGCAGATGACATGGGCTTGGGGAAGACTTTGCAAACGATTACGTTGTTGTGGACTCTGCTGAAACAAAATCCAATCCATGAAAGCCCTCCTGTGATCAAGAAAGCACTCATTGTCTGCCCGGTGACCCTGATCAACAACTGGAGGAAGGAGTTTCGGAAATGGCTGGGTAACGAGCGTATCGGTGTATTCGTCTTCGATGATAAAAGGAAACGCTTGACAGACTTCACTATGGGCAGGGCCTATAGTGTCATGATAGTCGGTTACGAGAAGCTTAGAACTGTTCAAGAAGGCCTAGCAAGAGGTGCCGGAGTCGACATTATCGTCGCCGACGAGGGCCACAGGCTGAAGACGCTCCAGAATAAGAGCGGCCAAGCTATCCAGTCACTGAACGCCACAAAAAGAATCATTCTTTCGGGAACCCCAATCCAGAATGACCTGAAGGAATTCTTTGCGGCAGTGGATCTGGTAAATCCAGGTATTTTAGGGAACTTCAAGGCCTTTGTCAGAGAATTTGAGGGGCCTATCGTAAAGAGCAGGCAGCCGGAGGCAACCAAGAAGGAGATTGAGAAAGGCGAAGCTAGGAATGAAGAACTGCGAGAGCTCACTTCCAAGTTCATGCTACGCAGGACGGCTGACATACTGGCGAAATATCTGCCGCCGAAAACAGAATATGTCTTGTTCTGCAACCCGACCTCCACACAAGCCAATATCTACAAAAATGTGCTCGCCTCTCCAGTATTCCAGTGTGCCATTGGCAACTCAGAAAACGCCCTGCAGCTCATTACCATTCTCAAAAAGCTCTGCAACAGCCCTTCGCTGTTGTCACCTAAAACTGGAAACGAAAAACCCAGTGAGACCATCACAGCGCTTTTATCGTCCCTGCCTCCGAATCTCTTACGCCACTTCTCCCCTTCATGCAGTGCAAAAATACGTGTACTCGATCAGTTACTCCATAACCTACGTACATCTACTTCAGAGAAGGTCGTCCTCGTCTCGAACTACACCTCAACGCTGAATTTGCTCGCCAACCTGCTCACCTCGCTCTCTCTGCCTTTCCTGAGACTAGATGGCTCAACCCCAGCGCAGAAAAGGCAGGCCCTAGTAGAAGATTTCAACCGTCTACCCCCAAATCTTTGTTTCGCGTTTCTCCTCTCCGCAAAAGCAGGAGGCACCGGACTAAATTTGATAGGCGCAAGCCGCCTTGTCCTCTTCGACGTGGACTGGAACCCAGCCACCGACGTACAAGCTATGGCGCGGATCCATCGCGACGGCCAAAAGAGACATTGTCGGATCTACCGCGTCTTGCTCAAGGGAAGCCTGGAGGAGAAAATCTGGCAACGCCAGGTAACCAAGATCGGACTGGCAGACAGCGTTATGGAACACAAAAACAGTGTGGCTCAATTCTCAAGGGATGAGCTGAAGGATCTCTTCCGTCTCGACGAGGCGAGCCGCTGTCAGACGCATGAGCTTCTGGGCTGCGACTGCGGTGGATTAGGGCAGATGGCTGGTCCATCGAGCAACGACACCAGCATCCCAGCCACGGATGCAGAGGACTCACCGTCCAGCGAGCTCTCAGACACGGATTCTGAATTTCCCGACATCCCCACGCTCATAAAAGCATCCCAGCTCAATATGGAAGAACAAGAGCGGCGGATTCGTTCGCACCTGCGTGATGGTCGTCGAAGCCGAAGCCACACGGGCAAACGAGGAAACGACAGCATGGGCGACGAACCAGCCAAACAAAGCCGAATACAGCAATCGCTCTCGCATTACGTGCATATAGACCCTGGTGTGTTATCAGCGGCGACGGATGAAACAGCAATCGATTTGCAGGCCGCACTTGATGACGACGACGTCCTTCTTCCCTTACTCAAAGACGAGGATAACAGAGTCTCGTTCATTTTCAAAAAGTCTAGTACTGCAGAGGCGAAGGGGAAGAGGCCCTCCTCGCCAGTGATTGTAGATTAGGAGGTTAGAACTATACGCTATGCGACATAGAGAGAAGTATAGAGAGCATTTGCATTGGTTCAAGGTTATATGGTTACATACATATAATATTATCGCGAGATATATTCGCTCTTCACGATATCTATGGAATTGTTACCTAGGACTATCTCGTATATCGCATATGCAAAAGGAATCGCGATCCAGCAAAGAACAAAAACTGAAGGGGGTATGGTATACGCAATAAACAATCGTCAAAGCGAAACAAAGTAGAGAACAGGAATTTCGAGTATTACAAGAAAGCATCCGGCCTGTGTGTGATATGACGAAATGAAGAAAACTGATATCCTCAAACATCAAACATCCTAATATCTAAGCTTTCCAACAAGTCCAAACGTGTATGCCGCCTCAGCTTCACTCTTCATCTGAATCATATATATCTTTGAAAATTTGCCTATGACACCACCTTCTTTTGGCATGGCTCCATCGTTAGCCTCTGGGATAGACACGGCAATACCGGTCCTTGCGACACGTTCGAAAGCGCTTTCGCCCAAGCAAACATCAAGCAGTACTTCGCCGCGTGTTTTGCCACGAACGACGATGCGCTTCTCCGGTTCGGTGGCCTGCCGGGGCGAGACGGATCCAGAGGTTGGTGGGCTACCTTCGTCAGCGCCGACGCTGGTATCACTGCGTCTACTGCTGGATGTGCCTGGGCGGCGAGGTGCGGAGCGAGTGGGCATGATTGTGAGCCTGGCAGCACCCATATCGCGCCACTTCGATTGAGTCTCGCGCACGTACAGCCGGATCTTGGCGTTGGACAGGCCGATTCCATCGGCGCCCTTCATGGCAGCGGCTATTCTGCCGATGCCGGAAGATGAATGATGCGAACCAAAGCCGGCAGAGCTTGAGTGCAGGCTATCCTCCTTTGCGCTCCGAGAGGTGATGGACGAGCGCGAGAGATTGAACATCTTGCCTCCGGATCCAAATTTCTTCAAGGCTGAGAACGCGCTACTCATGGTTCCAACACTACTTTCAGAGTGGTCGGCTAGCGACCGAGGCGAGTTCGACGCGCGGTAGCTCTTTCGGCGTTGGGGCCATCCGAACCACCTTCCAGTCTTCGTTGAACGTTCCATAGCAACGGGTTGGTTCGCAAAAGGACCACGTGCGTTTTGCAAAGCAATATAGGTTGGGTTGTTGATACGTGCCTGATTTATGAGACCATACAGCGCCTCGCACTCGTCTGCATTCCGAGAGCGGAACATGATATTGTTGCTCCAATTGATCTTCGATTTCTCAGTTGGAGGCGAACGAACGCTAATATCGATGGCTGTACCCCGCCGGATGGGCACCAGTGGTGTTAGCTCGAGGGCAATTAGTAGCTGTCCTTGACCTCTATGCTCTTCATCATCCATGTCTGACGTGGCCATGGAGCTCATTTCATACGCCTCGATGAGCCCAGGGCTGACTGCAATTTTGCAGTCAATGGGAGCTATAGCTTCCCATGTCCCTTTTTCGGACCATGCAAAGACAGAGGCAACGGCTGTGGAAGATTTTGTTGGTTGCGAAGGAACGGATCTATATCCACCCTGAGATGCAGAATTCGAGGGTGACAGCGAGCTGTTAGATGATGCGGCCAGAGTCGATTTGGCAAGGTTGTGTGCATCAGCAGGAGGTAATGAGGAGGCGAGCTCGTCATCAGAGTCACCATCCGACGTGTCCGACGCAGTGTAATCATCCGAATCTGAGTACATGTCGTAGCGTCGCACGGTTGACGTGTCTGAATCGGAATAGGTATCTGATGCTGTGGAAGGCTCATATTCGTGCTTCAATGGCGACGATCCACGCCTTCTCTGTCTTACATTGGTAGGACTGAGAACAGGTGTGTTCGGTAGACTCGGCCCCGTGGAGCTCGGTGAGCGACTGTGTGGAGGAGGTGGCGGAGGCTGCTCGTCGTTCGTTTGACTCGAGTCGGAGTTCGATCGAGAGTGCCCCTTGCCTTTCGAGGGACTTCCTGGTAGACTGTACGAGTCCACGGGAGCGTACTCTTCGTCGTCCGATACCGATGCCAACGACTCCGTTATGTAGCTTTGACTACTGCCCTTTCTGATTTTGGGTATGCTGGGCAGATCCATTGAGGGCACAGACGATACTCGCGGAGATCCCTGATCAACCGTGTCTCTTGTGGGAGTTTTTGGAGATTGCGGCTCCGTGTAAGGCTTCTTTTCGCGGACAACGACTGGGGATTGGACAGGCTTCTGATCTTCTTGACGATCCCGATGAGAAGTCGCTGACGCTTGCTCTTTGTCTGAAAGCGCATCTTTCTGCGGGCTCGATGGGGAGCTCTCTCCAGGTCGGTGAACTCGCTTAGCCTTCGATCGTTTCAGACCGGCTGACACTCTTTCATCAACAAGGGGAGTCCTGCGCGGATCACGAGCGTGGAGTATTGATGGTGGAGATTGTGGTGTTGAAGCGTAATCTGACTCGCGAGTAATTGCAGAGTAGACGGATGACTCAATAGCTGAAGTGGTTTCACAAACAGTACTGGGTTCCGACAAGGATTCTTTAGGGGTTGAAGACCGCCGAGCTGTTCGATACGTGGCCCTTTCGCCAATAGGTATATCCACACTTGTAGGACTTGGTGGGCCTTTTTGAGCCTGCGGTACATCGCTTGAAGGAGCCGTTTGCGCTCTTTGTCGTTGCTTTGCTCTCTCAATGAAGCTCTGGGTCCGACAGAGGGCTGGTGGTGGTGGGTTCACTCCCAATAGTTGAACCCATTCAAATGCTATATCCTCCTCATCGATCCGTAGCGATAACAACTCCTGCCACGCTTTCGCTCGTCCCGGAGGGCTACGCAACATGACCACAATCTCCCCCTTAAGGTCTCCATTACGCGCAGAAACGCACGCCAGGTCCATTGGAGGGAACAGAAGCCAACGATCCGCGTGGTCAATTTCACAAATCAGCAGATCCCCGCCCGCCCCGTTACCTGGGCCGTTGTCTCTTAAAAGAAGCTCCGCCCGACAGTCTACGACCTGGCCTGTAGAATGATACAGAGACAGATTGAAGAAGTCACGGGCGCGGACGCGTCGAGTCTTGTCGATGGTCACATCAGTAAGGGCTCCTAGAGTCGCAGGATCACGCGCGCGAGTCGAGTCGATACTGGCAGCGGATTCGTCTTCAAGCCTTGCCCGTTCCTCTCTTGCGCGGCGACGAGCTTCCGTAACCAGATTCTGATAGACCGAGGCTATCTCTTCCGCTTTAGCAGACGGAGCGAGCATATTGATGCCCTTGAAGGTTTTCGCAAGGTACTTGAGTCGCACCAGCGGTCGTTTGAGCAAATAAGCCACATCCACCTTCTCACCTTCGCTGTTGACCACGTCACCATTTTCGTCTCGAGCCATTCCCTCATCCAAGCTCTTCGTATCAGCATTCTGGGCGACCTCGCCCTCTTCTAAAGGAGCCAAGTTAACGATAACGTCTCTGAAGCCTAATCGCCAGGCCCGAAGGTATTCACGGTAGACTCGCTGAGCTCCCTGGGCCCAAGTTAGCAAGGAATCCGAGTTATCTTGCGGGATTCGCTTATGCAGCGTCTTCAAACGCTCGATGGCCACACCCATGTCGACTATCGGCTTAGTAAAGTTCAGCTCGTCTTTCGGATCAGTTGATGGTCGAAAGAGACCTGCCGCAATAGCCGAGTCTGACCTTGAGAGGACGCAAGTCAACAGCACGGGTATTACGCCGCCGACGAGAGTCTTGAGCTCGCGCATGTATTTCACTTCGTCGGCCGCTAACTCCTTGAGCAGGTCAGCGACGGTAGCATTAATTGCGCGGCTCTTGTTCGTTCGCAGGCTACGAGCAGAGCGTAAGCTTCTACTGCGCGTATTTGGAACTGAAAGTACAGACATGAGATCATCATGTGTTGTGAGTCGCCGCTTCAACTGAGAAGAGACAACAGGAAGCGAATTTGGGTCAAACTGATCTCTCTCCTCCGCATCACCTTTGGTCTGCGATGGTGTTGGTGCGGACTTGTCTTGAAGTGAGCTAGGTTCAAGTGTCTGCGATGGCCCATCATCACCTGCACTCATTGTGTCAATGGAGGCAATAGTTGAAAGTCGATGGAGGCCTGTGCTAGGAATGGGTCGTTTGCGGATAAGAGGAACAGGTGCGTTATTCCCGGATACCTCCGAACCGTCGGAGAAAGGCTGAGTATCTGTGTCATGATCATCTGCCTTCAGATCTGCATCACGGGTGGTAGCCTCCTTTGCACCTGATGATGATCTGCTATGCCTGTGTTCGCTGGACTTCTTCCTGTGGGTAGCAGAGGAGTCATCTCTCAGCTGTTTCGAGGATACTTTGCTCTCCTCAGATTTCTTTCTCTCACTGGTGGCTGAGCCTTCCCTACTACGCCCGTGTCGTTTGGATGTACTCCTCCTCAGACTCTCGCTCTCAGGGGACGGTTCGGAATCGGCGTTGCGGTCATGTTTGTCTTCCCGTTTAAGCGATGGTTTCGCTCGGTTCATCCTAGTGTTTAAGGGTGCAGGGACTTCCACGTCGGGATCCATGTCTTCCAGGAACGGATCAGAAGTGCTAGAGAGCCACGCCTCAATTTTGGAGCCCCTAGTAGGAGCTGGCTTGGGCGGCTCCGGTCGCGCGAACATCTTTCGCGACTCATCCAGCATATGCCCGAATATACCTCCCTTGGGGGGCTTGAGTGGCGCGCGAGTCTTCGGCGGAGTCTTAGGGCCAGGGCCTCGCGCCCGCCTTCTGGAGAGTTCCGAGAAATCTGCTTCACTTGCTGCCCAATCCGCATCCTCCTCGGTCACTTCTCCCTTTTTCTTTAAACTTTCCAGCGGCTCCAATGCCTCTCCACATTGAGAGCGATTTGCCGTCCCTGGCCGCGAAGTAGACTTCGAAGAGCCCCTCTGCTGCGCCTCATCCTCAGTCTTGCTCTCGGTCGCCGAATCCACATCTCGAGAGGCTCGAGATTTCCTACGCTCCTTGATAGTCGAGTCAGATGCGCCTCC